TTGCTTGCTTGCTTGCTTGCTTGCTTGCTTGCTTGCTTGCTTGCTTGCTTGCTTGCTTGCTTGCTTGTTTTTAAGGGGGCACTGGTGTTTCTGAGACTTTCTTTGAGGATCCCTGGGGAGCAGGGAAAGACAGTGCTGGTGGAGCTTCTCCCCTACATTGACCCTTGGAACTAGAGTAACCCCTGTTCCTTTGTCCTCTCATTGCTCTCCTTGGGACTCTCCTTGATGTGACAACCTTAAGTACTATCAGCATCAGCTTGTGCAGTTCTTTAAAAAAAAAAAAAAAGCTAGTGTCAAAAGTATGTCTGCTTGGTGTTTAAGCTGCTTTTACTCTCTGTAACAGTTTTATATCAATTGGTTCAGTTCTAAATTCAGTATCAGTGAAACTCTGTGGTCCAAAAACAAAACCCCAAGTCACATTTCTGTGTTCAGTCCTCATATCTAGCCTTGATAAGAAGGTGTTCGTAAGGGCCAAAGGATAGTTCCGGGCTCTGCAGCATAAGGAAGGAATCTGGTCTGAAGTGTTCACAGGGCCGGCAGCTGTCAGGACTCTGGTCCTTGAGGCACACAGAGGTCTCCTGAAAGTGGGAGACACCAGTGTGCTGCATGCCAAGCCTTTCACTCAACCTCCATCTCCATGTGCTGAGCAACCTTCTCTCCCTGCTGTGGAGAAGCACACGTAGGAGACTTCTATATAGACCCTGAATCATCCTAACTATAATTTAAAAATAATACAAAACAGCTTAAAATAACTAGGAAAAAGTTTTCAGTTTTATTTGATGTTCTTTTTTAGTTAGACTTGCTTTTTAAATTGAATATCTAGAGAATCTATAGAAAAAGAATGTCCTTGAAAAATCAGGGGAGTGCAGTAAGTTAATTTTTATTTGACAAGCTAGATGTCCACATTTCCTAATGTAGGCCTTGTTTCTACCAGTTCCTACAATTTACTGTATATTCAACAGTGATGCCAGTTGGTTGCAGGTTTCTCAGAACTTGTAGAGTGAAATTTGGTGTGTGTTTATACAAAGACTGCTTTAAATTCATAACTTAGAAGTTTCTCGGTGACCTAATTTGTGTGGACTCAAGCATCACTAAAGCTCCTTCTTTTAAATTATTTCCTTGAAGAAAAGTCCTTCCAAACAAGCCAGTCTTTTCTTAAAGTAAATTGTTACTACTAACATAGAAAAATATCGAGGAATCTCATCCTTGCTCTGAATGAGATCTTCTCTGAACAAGTCATAATGTATAGACTAACCATCTTCATTTGCTTGAGCACTGTGTGAAGTTTTTAAATAGGAAAATGCCTAGCAATTGTCGCTTAACTAATCAAAAGAATTGCTGAGTAAATTCAGAATTGACCAACAAGCAGAATCATGATTGCTTTTTACAACTTGGTGCCAAGTAATGCCTTCTCCCTCCTTAAAATAAGGTCTCACTTGTAGTTCAGGAATGTCCTGGAACTCACTGTGCAACCTGGCTGACCCTCCTGCCTCAGCCCCTTGAGAGCTGAGCTTACAGACATGGCCACCCCACTCAGCTCCGTAGCTGATGTCCTTCTTATTGCATAGTAAAGTAGATGTTTAATAATGACCAACAGTCTCCACTTTGAAACTATGGGCGTTGGCTTCTATGGTTGCTAATAAAGTCTTTCCTTCTTACAGTGCTCCAGCTGAGGCTGCAACAAAGGAGGACAAGAGAGCAACTAGTGGACCAGGGCATCATGCCACGTAAGACAAGTCACTGTTGTCTCTGGTGGGCTGGGACAGGATGGGTATCCTGAGGAAAGCTTGCCCTTCTTCCTTCAGTCCTCTAGGTCTTTCTGTGGGCTTATCAGGAAAACTAGGGGTCAGCGTGGCCCACCCAGGAGAACCCTTAGAGTACATTTTAAAAACAGATGTAGCTTGTAAAATGGGCTTGTATTTTACACTAATGAAGAATGTCTCTAAGACACTGTGAAGTTCTTACTGTGCATTTTAATGTCTGGGTTTAGAATTGTTGAATTGCTAACACTGCTGGCACATCTGAGATTAGACCTGTGATACAATGCACTCATGACCTTGTTCTACTTAAACACGGTCATTGTCCTTGATAGCAGGCTATGATCTACGTGTAATCTATGATTTATGTGCATCTCGGTTGAAACTAACACTGCAGTTAGTACAATATTTCTGGTCTAAATACAGCTGTTTCCTTCAAGAGATTCATAAGATTTGATTTTGAAATATTTATCTAGACTTTTTTTTTCCTTACCTTTAACCATCAGCTTTGGAAGTCTTAGAGGGGAGAATGGTTGTTTTTGTATGCCATAGGATTATACATCTGGATTATTTGTTATTATTTATCTATCATTTAGTGTTTAGAAATTAACTTTAAAACACTAGAAATTATAAGACAATTTCCAGTCCTATAACTCATTGCTAGTCCAGAAATCATTATCAGTTAATGTAGATACATTTTTCCTCAGATTTTTTTCCCCTTCGTGAAACTTTTATATTCTACTCATCATCTGTCTTTTAAATTTCTTGAATACAGCTGTGGTAGCCCAAAGACACTTTGATAATCTGCCAGGTGTCTCCACCACCACACTCCTCCCCGCAGCCAGTTAGTCAAGCAGCGTCAGATAATGGTGCCTAAAGCATTACTGCTCCATCAGCCCTGACTGGCTATGGTCCTGTCTCCCATCTACTGACCTAAGTCCATGGTTCTTATGTGCCTGCTATTACAAGGCAATGCTGGATATACAGAAATCAAGAGTTTTCAAAGATGACAGACAGAAATGGAAACACCACTTCCCCTTATGCTGAGATTCTAAAGTAGAATACTTAAAGGGTCATCTTTTGTTTGTTGCGTTGTGGTGTGCTGCAAAGAACATGACCCTTTAATTTAGAATATGAGATGTTAATCCCACTTGTTGACTAACATTTAGCTATATGACCCCAGGGGCTCACACACTCTGAACATCTATGCTGAGGTTTCTACCTACCTTTCAGGTCTATTAGGGAGACCAACAAGATTCTTAACTGTGCTTCACCACAGCCAGTTGTGAGTTCTGAATAAATGGCACCTCAGACATGAGACATGAGTGCTGTGTGTCCCCATGTTCAGATTCCAAGGTCATATGGGCTTTGTCTAGAAGCATATATGGGCACTAAGAACAAAGAACTGTGATGGTTCCTAGGCCACAGAATGGTCTGACCTGGCATTTACAGTCATTATATGCCAGCTCTGTTTGAAATGGCCACTTGTTTTATTTGTCAAGGATGTAAGTTCAGTTGGGTAACGTTAAAGAGTTCAAATTTGTAGGGGTCTTATAAAGTAACTGGTAAGTAAATGTCAGCACAAGTGTGCACTGAGGGGGTCAGCAAAGTGGTGAGCTAAGATGTAAGCTCCTGTTTATGCTGGGGAATCAGTTTGTTTTCTTCCTAACAGCTTTGAAGAGCCCAGCAGCATTCCATGAGCAGATAAAAAGCCTGGAGCGAGCCAGAGTAAGTGATTTCACATTAAAATCCTTACTTCTCTGCCATATCCCAGGCACTAGTACTCCCAAATATATCACTGCAGAAAATACATGGTGTCTCAGACACCTGATGTAGATAGCATGTGTTCTGGGAGTAGTTTCTGAGAGACTTTGAGAAAGTATGTGATGGTTCAGTTTATATAACTATAAAGCTCTATAAAGTATTTACTTTATACTAATACACTTCAAACCTCTGGATGATTTTGGAAGGCTACACTGTAAACTATGTGCTAGATGATAGTTCTCCTCAGTACTAATTTCTGGTCATTCTCTCAAAGATACAACAGGGTATATAATTTATTTTGGTAGAAAATCTAAAACTACAGTGAATTGTGAACAATACTTTTCTTTTTAAGACTGAAAACTTTCTGAAGCACAAGATCCGGAGCCGCCCAGACCGCTCTGAGCTGGTCAGGATGCATATTCTAGAAGGTAAGGGGTTGTGTCTCCTGAAGAAAAGTGAGCTGCCCACTATTTTTCTTTATTCCCATTTTAATAATGCTTTGCCCCACAGGCTGGCATCCTCAAATTGGATAGCACCAAGAAGACTCAAAACTGAAGCTCTGTGTGGGATACCTGGGGAGCATTTGACCTCCAGGGAGTCGCTTGATAAGCTGGTGCTTCTGCCAGCTACCTCCTAAGTCCACCTGTCTGTCCTTGGACATTTCTGGTGCATAAGACTTGTCTATCATCTTGTCTAGCTAACTTGGATCTCACTGATATCTAGCAAAGGTGGTGCTCACACATGTTGCTATTCCTCTTAAATTCAACAGTCGTGACATGACTGTCTCTGATCACCTCTGAGTGATCTAGTATTAGCCCCTGGAGGCAAAACAACTTCATTCCATTTCTGCAGGATACGTGGCTCACATGACTGTCCTTCTCTCTGAGTTAGCCATCTTGATAGCCAGCTTCTCTGTCACAGACTCCCAGCTTCTATTTCTCCTGTCATTCTGCTTTTGTAACTAATTTACTAAGCAAAAGTTAAAATAAAAATAAAAAAAAAGCTTGATCCTTGGACAGTATCATGTGTGTTAAGCTTTAAGAAGAATCTGGAAACCTCTCAGATATTTAAAGACAGTTGTGAGGCAGAGTCTGTTCTCTCTGGGCCTAGTGACAGAAGTCAGTGATCTTCACATGCAGGATGGTAGCCTGGTAGCTCAGACACAGCCAAAGATGCAGTTCTTCAGGAACAATAGGTCACCATTTGAGAGCTGTGCATCCACTGGCTAGATGCTAGGAACCAGGGGCCCAGTGATGAGCAAGGCAAAGCCGCCTGCCTTCATGTGCTTTAGGAACAGAGACAGACAGGGAATAAACAGGTAGCTATGACTGAGACACAGGCTGATAACTGCATTAGAATATGCTCTAACAGACTACTAAGTACTGTACCAACCTCCTTAAACCTAAAGAGTGTGTCCTATGTGTCCTTCTTGCTCCTGAGTAGGAGGTGGGAGATGTGTGCCTTCTCCACTATGGTTTCTGTTCTCAGAAGTCCTCTGAACTGAAAAACTTATCAGAGCAGTGTTAGGGTAGAACACTGCAGCTTTCAGGGATCAGTGACTTCAGCAAGCCTCCACTAACACAGCAAAGAACAACAAGGCATATGTGGGGTGTGTGTGTGTGTGTACAATTGTCAGAAGGCAAGTCTGACTCTAGAAGATGTCATTAATAGAATTGAAATAAAAAGAAATACATCTACTCAAAATTCTTGGTTATGAAAATAAAAGAAAAGCCCTAGGGCTGGAGAGGTGGCTCAGCAAAAGCACATTGTACGGCTCTTACAGAGGACACTGTTCAGTTGCAATACTGAGGTCAAATAGCACACAACTTCCTGTAACTCCAGCTCCAAGGGATCCGACGCCCTCCTCTGTCCTCTCCTGACACCAGGCACTCACACAGGGCACGTGCCTGCAAACACTCACATACCTATTTTTTATTATGAGTATATATTGAAACATGCATTCTTGAGTTGAAATCTGAAGAGTGAAAAAGAGTATATCATCATTAACTTTTGAATTACCTTAAAACTACAGCCATATTTTGACATTGGGTATTTGGCAGGTTGGAGTCTAAATTATTTTCTGAAGTTCAGCAGTAAAAATTGAGCCTTGGCTTCATGGACCTGCTGGGCTCTGCTGCTTTCACTTAGATGGTGTGAAAGTGAGAAGGGAGAGAAACAGAAGGCTCTCCTACTGTGAGCTTCACAGAAGCATTGAAAGCATCAATGTGATTGGCTCATCCTGACCTCTGTATATAGTGTTCCTGTACAGTTTTGTGTGCTTCACCTCATAAGAGCTCAGAATCAACTCATAATTTGGGATACTAGTTCCCCACTTACTTTTAAAACAGCATAAGCATAGCTCAAGACAATGGGGGGACATGTTAATGACTTACCACAAGCTCCAGAACTGAGAGGGTGAAGCACAGGAGTTGGGAGAACTACAGTGGCTTCCTGTCTGTTGTAGTAACTCCATCATTTTAAGTATATGAGGTCACAATTCTGTGCACTAAAATCTGTGTAAAATGAGGTTTTGGTCCAAAATAAGTTCAAATTTTTAAGTATGATAACTGACCCTGAGATACAAATGGACCAATCCAAGAATATGAATCACAGCTCTTCCCACTGAAGAAAATAAACTTGTATCCTAAGATTTTGTGTCTCCTCCCTTTCTAGGAACTGCCTTTCCAGTGAAACCAAATAAGAACCGTACTCTTTTAGAGCTCTGGGCCACATTGGCTTTCCTGCTGTGTCTCCCTGATAACTAATAAGAATTCTAACAAATCTGACCTCCTACTGTAGGTGCATGACGGCAGTTCCCATTGCCAACTTCAGTTCATGGTGATTCAGCCTTGCTGCCTGTACGTTGCATAGATGGTAGGCCCACCCTGAGAGACATCACATCTACCGAGCACTCTCAGCTGTCACTCTCTCCTTCCAGAGTCTAACCCTGTTCAAGTAGTTTAGTTCAGTTACTTGGCCTGCTAGGCACCATGGTTAAAGCTATGCTTCTTCTTCCAGAAACGTTTGCTGAGCCATCTCTTCAGGCCACACAGATGAAGCTGAAGAGAGCTCGGTTGGCAGATGACCTGAACGAGAAGATTGCTCAAAGGCCTGGTCCCATGGAGCTAGTGGAGAAGAACATCCTTCCTGTGGATTCGAGTGTGAAGGAAGCAATTATAGGCAAGAGTACCAGTTTCAGTCTTCTGGGAGAAAGGAAAGCACATGAGATTCAGATAAAACAAATCTGATTCAGATGCTGACATCAATCAAGGATGTTGTTTTCTGAGTTAGCTAGAAGCTGATGGTCATCTGGTAGTTCTTGTTGTGAGTCTTTGTTATAGATTAGGAAGTGGCCTCTGCTGCAGTTAATGTGGCCTCCCATTTTACGTTTCAGAGACCGTCTCATGCCATTATCGCATAGCTAAGGTAAATTACTGTACTGTACTGTTCCATGTCTACTCTTGGTTGGTAGACTTCACTGTGTCTATTAGAAAGATAATTGGCTTCACAGGCAAGGAGAATGGTTCGTGGTTTCACTGTACTCTTGAAGTGGCATCTGTCTGTTTCACCCTCTCGGAACACTTGGCTGCTGCTGCTCACCCTGTTCTGGGTACTTGAGCAGACCTGTGCATGTGTATCACTCTCCGGCACTGAGGCTTCCCCATGTCACTGCTGCACTCTTTGTTTCTATCATAGTTGCAGCAGGAAAAATGAACCTCAGTCAGCAGGGTTGGTTTTTTTTATTGTTATACTGAGAAACTAGTTAGTATAGTGCACATACCCCTGAAGACTTCCTACTAAGATAGTATGAGTTTGCAGTAGGCAGTTTGTAATCACAGAATTCTAAAACAGCCAACTCTGATCCCAAACATCTGGGAAGAGAGCCACCAGCAGTGGGGCATGACTGTAGTTAGGTATGCTGTTCTTTGAAATGAAAACTGACTTGGAAACAAGCCCACTTTCTCCTCTGCTTCCTGCATTTTAACATTTGGGTTGCAGGTCAGGGTTTAAAAAAATAAAGTCTATGCATCTCTTAAATATAACTCGGTTGAGAGGAGAGTCTTTTCTTTCCATATTTGCCCTGATGCTTATATTTTGAAAAGGAGGCTGTGTGCCCTTCATCCTAGATTGCTCCCCTGCTGTGATATTCTCCTGCTGTGTCAAGAACCCTCCCCTTCAGGCAGGGCTAGAGTGGTGTTGGTGCTCTAGCCTCTTGGATAGCACATACAGTGCCCTGGGCCCATCCCCAGCATCACACAGATCAAAAGCAAGGTAGCTGGATCCAAAGGTTTGATCTGACTGAAAGAACATCAAACCCCAAAGAGTACATGACAGCGGTGTGACTCCCATTGGGAAGAGCCTCCATTTCTATACAGTGTGGCTCCCCCTCGGAGAGCCCAGCTTTAAACCATATCCTTAAACTCTGCCTTCCTTGTCAGCCTCAGGGTTCTGGAGCCCCATGAGTTACCTGTGGTTCTCTCTGCAGGTGTAGTGAAGGAGGACTATCCTCACACTCATGGTGAGTTCTCATTTGATGAAGATAGCAGTGATGCTTTGTCTCCAGACCAGCCAGCAAGCCAGGAGTCTCAGGGCTCAGCTGCATCCCCCAGTGAGCCAAAAGTCAGTGCCTCGCCACCTCCTGTGACTGCAAGCACTCCGGCCCAGGTAAGACCTTCCTAACATTCTTACAAACTATGTTAAAACAATATTTTCACTAGAAAAAAAATATCAAAATACTGACACTTCCTACTTGCGAGCCAAACACTAAAAATTCAAAGCTGGTTCTCAGTTAATAGTTCTGATATACATACACATACATTATTCTAATCTTAGTGGTGTGAAGAGACACCATGATTGTAGCAACTCTTAGAAAGGAAAACATTTAATTGGGACTGGCTTACAGTTTTAGAGGTTGAGTCCATTATCCTCATGGCGGGAAGCATGATGGCATGCAGGCAGGCATGATACTGGAGGAGCTGAGAGTTCTACATGTTGATTTGCAGGTAGCAGGAAAAGACTGCTACACTCACCATGGCTGGAGCATCTAAGATCTCAAAGCCCACTCTCAGTGACACACCTCCTCCAACAAAGCCACACCTACTCCAACAAGGCCACACTTCCTAATAGTGCCACTCCCTGGTACCCAAACATTCAAATCTAAGAGCCTATAGGGGCCATTTTTATTTAGACCACCATATTTTCTTAAAACATTGACAAATATAATGTAATTAACCTTTTTTCTATAAGGAGTCAAATATATTTGCACTGTCTTGCAACTGATCTCCATGGCCTCTTCACCTAATAACATTGAAATGCCATAGCCTTTGACACCTCCTTCACTCTTGTCTGTCCAGTTGCCAGGAGCCTGTCCTACTACCTGTCTCTATGAGTTTGACTCTTTAGGTTGCTCTTTTTTGTTTGTTTGGTTGGTTGGTTGGTTGGTTGGTTGGTTGGTTGGTTGGTTTTTTGATTTTGTTTTTTGAGACAGGGTTTCTCTGTGTAGCCCGGGCTGTCCTGGAACTCACTCTGTAGACCAGGCTGTCCAGAAATCTGCCTGCCTCTGCCTCCCAAGTTCTGGGATTAAAGGTGTGCACCACCACCGCTGGGCTTTAGGTAGCTCTTAAAAGTGGGATCAGACAATGTGTCTTTTTGTGACTGGTTTATTTCACTTAGTATAACATCCATAGTTCCCGCCACGTTGTGGCTGGGCCATGCAGAGAAGCCATGTCTTGAACACAAAGGCCTTGTTGTAGTAGAGTTGATCGGCTCCATCGTCCAGTCAAACAGTCCGTGGGGTCAGCAGTGTGGCCGGCTCCTGGTCTTCACTTTTGCCGTTAGAGTAAGATGCCATTGTCTTCACTTCCACTTGCTGATTATATTTTTTGGCACTTACCTGATTGTTTCTTTGGCTAAATTGCCAGATATTGAAGTGGGCGTTGGTGTAAGGACAACCTGAGTGGACAGGATGTGAAGACCTCAAGAGACTGAAAATGCATTTTCTTCTGTCCTGGTCTTGTGAACATATTCTTGTTGGGAAGTTGTCTTGTAGCATTATTTCTTCATTACACTCGTCACTGTAGTACAAATTATGTATTGTGTTTGTGTGTGGTCTTAGGTGGGAAGAAGGAACTCTTGACTCTGAAGGTAGACCAAGAAGAGTTGAGAGCTGGCAACTTTGTGTATATATGGAGGGCAGACAACTTAGTGCGTGTGTGTGAGGAACTTAGTCTGTGTGTTACATGCTTACATGCATCCATTTCCCAAAGGTTTTCAATAAGGGCTGACTTAACTAAGCTTTCTAAATGACTGACTGGAATATCTATAGACCTTTGTATTCTTATATTTAAAAGTGGCCCCATCAGAGATGGTGTGAGTAGTGACAGCCCAGATCTTCTGTCCAAGCTCACAGAAAAGTAGTGTCTGTGGCCTCCAGTATTTCTGGAGTATGACCTGAGGAAAGCTGAGGGTTGTGGAGCAGCACACACTGAGGTCTGAGCGGATGGAGCAGGGAGGCCCGCTCTACTGTGCTCTCACATACTCTCACCCTAGCTGAGACTTTAAAAATAGGCCTAAAAAGAATGTCAAGAATGTAAGTAAATAAACTTTAGGAAAACATTTTACTTAGTCATTTGGGTTACTTTTTTGCTTCTCTCTGAATAGGTCAAGTTGTGAGACAGTTATTCACATGGCTGTAACTTTAGTGACAGAGTTGTCATCTCAGCTCTCTGAATTTGGTTTTTGAGTCTGTGATGGTTGATCCTTATTACCAACTTAGTGAGATTTGCGATCAGGTAGGAGATATGAGCAAGAGTGTGTCTGCTGAGGGTGTTTCCCAGAGAGGCTTAACTGAGGAGAGGACACCCAGGGTGGTCCTGCTCAATGGGATGGAGCCCACTGAACAAATCAAAAGAAAGGAGGAAGCCAGGCAAGCTCAGCCTTTGTCTCTTCTGCTTCTGATGTGTGCATGCAGCCTCCTGCTGCCATGCCTTCACCACCCATGATGGACTGTATGTCAGAGCTGTGAGCCAGAACAACCCTTCCTCCCTTGGAATTCTAGGCAGGTGTTTGGTCACAGCAACAAGAAATGTATGTGCCACAGAGGCTGTACAGGCAAAAGAGATTCTGTCCTCTCTGTCACTGCCAGACTTTTATTTTGCTCATGAAACTTTGTTCCTATCCAAGTTTATGTGAGGAATTTTAACAAGAGGCTGACATTACAGATCCCTTTGAGGAAAAATATGAATGGTAGTATTTCTCAAAGAATACATACAGATTGCATATTGCCAGAAGAGTGCACACTAAGCTTCAGCTCACTCCTTAACTAAGGCACTGATCCTCAGATGCCTTCAGTGTGTCTGCAGCACTGGATGTACAGACTCCACCAAGTTGGTCCCTACTCCCTGTTACCAGCAGCTGGGCCAGTGGCAAGAGACCTGCTTTGGGGAATGAAAACACCCCCATGGGCAGGGAAGGATGGCTCCACTGCAGCATCACTTCTCAGGTAGTTTCTAGCCTGTGTGTGTCTGTCAGAAACTCCCTGTGTTACAGTGTTGTATATTCATAAGTAAGGAATCTGATGATGCTAAGACTCTATTTATATATTGCATGATCCTGGCAGCCAAGCTACCTGTTACCTGAAAACAGGAAACCTTAAGTAACACTACCTGTTCTATTCTGTTCTGTTCTGTACTGTTTTCATTTTTTAAATTAAGTTCAGAGGAAAGCCTTGTATCAGTCAAGTCAGGGATTTTTATATCACCTAGAATTTATAACTTTTATTTTGACAATTTTTTAATTTTATTGTATTTGTCCAGATTTCTTAATTTCTTTTATTAGTTCCGTTTCTCATGGCTGTGAGCAAGTACCTGGCAAAAAAGCAACTTAAAGAAAGTCTTTGTTTTGCCTTGTAGGTTGTAAGATAAAGTCTATCATGGCAGGACAGACGTGTCAACAGGAAAAGTGGCTCTTCACATTGTATCTGCAGTCTGGAAAACAGTGACTAGGAAGTGAGCCAAGCTAGAAAACCTTAGTGCCCACCCCCAGTAACCCACTTTTTCCAGTAAGTCTATGTCTCTTAAAGGTTCCATTCCCTTCTAAACTACTACCCCCAACTTGGGACTAAGCATTGGAAGCCTGTGGAGGGCACCTCACAACTTAACAGCTATAAGAAGGACACAGAGCACGGCTCCCCAGCCTTTCCTCTTTCACCAGCATCCTCCTGCCTTACCATCAGCCTAAAGCAGCATAGTCATTGAAACCACAGGTTAACACAGAGCACAGAGGAACACAAACTAACTAGGTATTTTTTGAAGCTTTAGAACTTATTTTATACCCAAAGATCACATACTGCAAATGGAGCACAACTTGTTTTATGTTTAGGCAACTCATGAAGAGTGGGAAACTGTAGAAAATCAGTTTCTACATGTGGGTGCAAGGAGTTTACCTGCTGGCTTTCATCTGTAGACCTTAGGGATGTCTTAAGCTCTTTAATTAATCATCGATTATTTTAAGACACAATAATGTTCATCATAAGCCTGGTCTGGTAGGACTTCTGTGAATTCACAAAGCTTCGTACTGCCAGAATTTTGTTGGCCAGCTGCTTTGATGAGCCGTTTTTCTGAGTCTTTTGCCCTTTCCAATTTCTCCCCTGCTTCCAAGCTACCACGAGGTATCAAGCTGTCTCCTCCATATACTTCCACTAGGATGGACTTGTGCCAAAGTAACAGGAACTGTGAAGCCTGTGAAACCATGAGCTAAATAAGCTTTTCCCTTAACTAGGTTGATTATCTCAGGCAATTTGTCATAGTAAAAGCAAGCTGATCAATTCAATAATATATAAACAAATAAAAACTATTACAACCTTGAATTACAACTCTGTTTTTACATAGAATTTTACATTATAAATGTATGGTAATGACTATATGGCTTACAACAGTGTGTGTTCTTACTAGTATAGAAGAGGTCTGGGGATGGGTCTACACCTCTGTATTTTCACATTCAAGAAGCCAAGGCAAGAGGATTGATGCCTTCAGGTCTGCCTGGCAGACATGGGGATGCCATAAAGCAGCATCTCTATATGTGACTGGAGCTGATGTTATGAATCGCTCGCTCAGTTTGTGCATAATTGCCACAGTAACCAAAGACAATGCATTGAGAAAGTATATAGAAAGAGAGAAGAGAGTCAGGTTATCACTACAGAAATGAGCATGGAAAGACACCTTGTATTCATAGACAGCTTTTCTTAAGACGTCAACATGACCTAAACCATTTCACAGATTCATTGCAAGCCCTAGCAAATCCCAGCAATGATTTCTACTGAAATAACCTAGTAAGGAGCCCTGAAAACAAAAACTGTCATGAAGTTAAAAGAATACAATACTGTCAGCCTCACTCTTACTGGTTTTTTTAACTTATTAATTAATTAAATTCTTCTTTTAACAATTTCATATGTATTCATTTGTATTTCATATGTATCATTATATAATGCATTGGTTTTAAAACTTATTATGAAGCCACAGAAATTAAAATAATATGGTGCTAACATAAAAACAAGCACACAGCCAAGTGGAATCTATCAAAGCCCACTGAAATAAGAGCCTAGAGAAAAAGAGTCCTCGTGTATATGATGATGTACTCCTTGACAAAGACGCCAAGATCACCAAGAA